TTACGAGAAATCTACCAGTGCAGCCATCTACCGAAAAAATAATGGATTTCTTTTTCTCCAAACTAATATATATTGATTTAGGCATGTGTGTATATCCGAATTGGAATTTTCAAAATTAATGGGGCTTAAGACCAAGGATAAAAGTAACACAAGTAACCATTAACAGGCCCATGCATTTTGATGGGATACTCTAGACTTTCACCAGAAAAATGATTCAGCTGATTTGATTTTAAGCGCTAAAGTTTGTATCGCTTGTAAATTATTTCTAGCAATAATAACAATACATATATATATATATATATATATATATATATATATATATAGGTTATGGGATGTTTTGTAACCTGTCAACTCATGGAATTAGTTTATATGCAACTTTTAGTTAAGCTTTTTCGCTCCTTAAAATGAGTTTTGAACTGATCACACTAATGTTTAACGCTTTTGGGATGTGAGCTACGAAGGAAACCAAACATGCTTATCAAGTCCAAGAATTTAGAATATCATCTTCATCAGAATTGAATATGTTCACATGGGAGCGATATGCTCCCATTATGAATACTATATATTCATTTTGAATAATGAGTACTAAGAAATCGTCCTGACCCCAGTTTCCTAATGCCTAAACGACTTTGTAGCATATCATGCATCAATTCAAATTCGAAACCTTGTGCGAAAAGACATTTTTGGTCTTAAGTTTCTGTTGAGGAGAAATTCAATAATCAGTTCGATAAACATAAGCGAATAATTGGTATTGTAAAATATTTTCTAATTTTTTTTTTCAAACTACTTGCCCGACATAAACGTAGCACACATTTACCGAAAGAGCTGAAAATGTCTTGTCCCAATTGTGGAAGCAGACGTTGCAACATGTACGCAGATATGCGCACTTTTCACGGTCAGGAGCCACTCGATGTTTTATTGAATAATTCCAATACAACACAATATAAACTTCAGGCTCACGTTAAAAGTGAACACGGCACCAAACCGGATGAAAACAATGAAATGAAAAGTAACTCAGGTCTAGTTGTGAACAAGGGAGCACATCAGAAATCAAAAAAGATTAAGTATAAGTGCACAGTTTGCGAAAAGGCATTCAAACGCCGGAAAAAATTTAAAGAACATATGTGCACGCACGCGAACGAACGTCCATACAAATGCCCTCATTGTGAACGTAGTTTTTTGCAATCAAGATTTCTAAACATTCATATACGCACCCATATGGAACGTCGCCCAACCAAAGTAAGTTTTTACAATTATTTCGATGGAAAAGTGTATTAGAAGCGCGAAGGTTGTTACTCGATATAGCTCCTACTATCTGAAACTACAACTACAAATCATCTATAAAATTATAAATTTGTTGTTTCTAGTCTGAAGGCGATCAATCAGGCATTGAATCTATGACCCAAGTACGTAGAGCTGTCGGGGGTGGTAGAGATGGTGGCAACCGCAGACAGAGGTTACGCAAAAATCGTCCTGTTCTTGATTTCTCCATTAAGGTGACTAATCTTAAACGTGGCATGCGCATTAAAGACTTCAAAGCCGAATTGCGCAAAAGACAATGTAATCCATTGGGTATTACTTGGAAACGTAAGAATTAGATTGAAACATGATTATTATTTATTTTTTAATTTTTTTTTTTTATATTACCACCTTTTCATCATTTTATATTTGTTAATAGCGTCCATCGGTCGCTGTTTCTTGCATTTCGGTAATCGTAATGGTCAACCGAGCACCGATGAGGATGTAGAAAAGGTGTTGAATGCTTTAAGCAATCTTACTTTAACCATTAATCCACCACGCAACGATAATGCCCCTAATGCCAATGGAGCTGAAGGTGACGTTGGTGAACCGTCGCCTCAATCTAAACCACCAAAGATAATCGATCTTAATGTAAAGTTGATTGATCGGAGAAAGAAAAGTATCTCTAGTGCGTTTATTTAACCTTTATTATTATTTTTTCGTATTTAAGTTGTTTAACTTTAGACTCTTGCTATTTGAATTTTTATTTGTCTTTTTACATTAAACGATTTGTATTAAAAAAAATATATGTATATAAACTTTTACCAATTTTCCTTTTTATACAAATTTAAAAAACAAAAAAAAAAAATAAATAAAAACACTTCGTGAATGAATTGATGAACAAATAAATATTTGATTAAATCCATAGTGAAAGTATCTCTTACATTCTCCAAAATCGGAATCCTTAAAATATTTCAGGGGCCGAATCTCGAATAACGACCACTAGGTTTTTCGCATTCTTCTCTCCAACTTCTTTCATTTGATACTCATATCGCTGGCATTAAGAAAAAATCGCGGTGCCGACCATATTCATTTTAAAATTAACCTATTTTTAGGCAAGTAATATATCTTCACTTAAGGAGGGTACCAAATATTCCATCTTGTTTTTGTTTGCTTTGTGATAAAAATTGAAACGAATAAAATTTAGTTACTCGTAGCTTTGTGTGGGGATGGCCGGCCGATTGATTCGATTTTCGGACCTAGAGAGTAAAGTGTTTCGTAAAGCAAACGTGAAAAACTTCAGCCTCTAACTTCAATAATTTCCGAATAACGAGCAAAAATCCTGAAATTTGAAATGAAAAAACACGTGAGTTGCTTTCAGTTTACGCTCCATTGTGGGCTTTTGCTCTGACCAATATGGGCCACTTTCAATACCAACATGTGTGCAGAAACTTCTGCCAAGTTTGAAGCCGATGGCTTCATTTTGCGACCAGGAGAGTGCCAACAACAACACACACCACACAGACGGACAGACATAGCTTAATCACTTGAGATTTTCACGCTGATCAACGATATATATACTTTATAGCGTCTCTGAAGTTTCCTTTAGATGTTGAGCCTCCATTCCCTTCAGGGGAGCGTATAAAAAAAAAGAAGAAAAAATCGCAATCTGCAGCTAATCGCTTTGGTCTGGATGAAGAGCGAAAGGGAAGTGATTTCACCCAAAAGCATTGCACGTAAATGTCTTAAGAATATTGAAACGAAAGACTTAATTATCTTTTTTTTTCACGTATACATAGAACACACATGTAAACCAGTTTTTAAAATATCGTTTTTCAAGTAACCGATGTTTCTGGATTTTCCGAACTTGCTAAAGATTAATTAATAAATAATTAAAGTTAAAAACAAAAATCTCCCGTACTGTAAATTGGCCTCCATTTTATTGGTCGAAAGAGCAGCAATATTGCTTTACATATTAATAAAAAGTCGGTTAATTTTAAAAAGATCTAATAGATGTTAATTCTTATATAATTCTAAACCTTCTTCTACATCTTAATTTAGGCTGCATTACTTATATATAATTAGAAGAAGACAAGGAGAAACATTAGACTTTCAACGCAAGAGCTTGATTTGCTTCGCACTGAAAGCGTTTCTAGCGTCTGAAACTTGGATGTGATAGGGATGGTAAGCAAAAAAATTAATGACCAAACGAACTTCTTAGAAAGACGAAAGCTGCGTAAATTTTAAAATTCATTTAATTAAAATCGACCCATAAGCCATTGCGGCCCAGAAGAATCCTTTAAATGAATCGCAAACAAAGCACGAAGGATGACTGGCGGAGACCACAAAGTGCTCGAAGCATGATTGAGTTAAAACTCTTGAACAGTCTAGACTCATGGCAAATCTTTAACGTTGCAATTCTGATCTTTGCAGATATATTAAATGAAAACTTTAATGCTTACATCATCCTGCTATATGCATCGTTAGCCCTCGAATCAATAAATAGTTACGCGTGTAGCGCTGTATGGAGAACCAATTTGTGTAGAAACGCCCCATTTGGATTATTGAAATGTCAGTAGAGTGATCTTCAGACAATAGAAATTTTAATAAACACCTTTCAATTTACTAACAACAGTACAAATAGTTAATTATTAAAATTGCGAAATAATTACATTGTGAAATAATAAGAAATTTGGGTAATCGTGTAATATTTAGCATATAAAGCAATTCATTCATTTTTATTTATATTTTTCAGTTCAATTATCAAAAGAATAAAAATACCAAATAACTGTTTTACATACATACACGCAGAAGCAACCAGTCATTATCTATTATATACACTATCGCTCTAAATTCTACTCCCTTGTGCGCATACCATCTCTAACTGCACTAAATGTAAAGTTCGCCCATCACTAATTTTTACTCAAAAATAAATTAAACTATTAAGTGCTTGCAAAAGTTTTGATCAGCGACTTGTACACTTGTACTTGTCTATAAATGGTAAAGAAATGGGAAATACCAGTATACATAAGGCTTGAATTCGAATGTATGCCGACACTAATCATGAGTCGCGCATAATTTTTCTTCTTTTAAATTCATTATTTTTGTGGTTTATTTGAAGGAATCGGCTGCCGAAGCCCACCAAACATGTTGAGAGACTTATGGTGATGCGGCTCCACCATATCCCAATTGTCGGTTTTGAATTCAACGGTTTAAAAATGGCGACACGAATTGATAGTGTTGATGACTGTATATCGGGCATCATTATTATTTGATTGTCCCAAACGTGCTTAGAAGATGACATTTCAGCTTACATTTTTTGTGAAGATAGTTTTCTAATTCTTTCTTTTTATAAAAGTTATATAGATTTGAAAATGATTGAAATATACGAGGAAATGCGCTACATAACGCTTTTTTACCAAAAAGGAAAAAAAATGGTGAAGTGCAGGGTAAGAAGGCTGTTAGTGAGAGAGAATTTCGATATCAAAGCTGCATCTCGCAATCACCGGAAAAGTCGTTCAAATTTTACAAGATTCGAACGCAAGCTCTCAGGAAGTAGCGGTGGCACTAAACCTCAACCACATGACAGCACGCTGCAAAAAGAAGCTAGAAAAGGGGGCTAGAGCGGAGACTTTTCAATATTACTCATTATATTGCACAAAGTTAGTTTTTACATATTCACAGAAGCTCTCTACCAATTCTTCCTTGCACATCGTACTCCACTTTTTATCGCCGAATATTGCTTGTATACCATCTTTAATTTATCTGAGTATTGCCATCACTAATATTTTAATGGAAAATAAATTAAAATATATTCACAAACGTTGAATGAAAAATGTCTTTGGATTTACGGAATCAATGTCGAACATGCCTTAAGACTGATATTAAATTGCAGAAGTTGACTGCTATGATTGACGGAAAGGCTGCAACAACGTACAAGGATGCGTTAAAGACTCTGGCAAACTTCTTGGTAAGTTGCAAATGTAAATATTGCTGAAGAAGTCTTGTGTCATACAGATAACCGTTTTTTTATTAAAGTTTAAAGCTGAATATGAAGACGAAATGCCGCAAAGAATATGCGATGGTTGTTGCCGTAAACTGCGGTCGGCCCAAAATTTCATTATTCAAGCAGAGGAAGCTAACGACAAGTTAATACGAATTCTAAAGGATATACAGCAGATGCCTTCCCTAAAGCAATTGGATTGCTTGAATGAAAATCCCATTGAATTGTCCAGCACTGTTGAGCAATGTCTGCAAATCAAAATGGAGGTAGAAAATTTTGAGAGCGCGGAAAAAGACTTAAAACAAATAGACAATTGGATTGATAATATTGCAATTAAAAATGAGCCACAATTTGATGGCGAAAATCAATTATTAAAGAGCGTTGAAAAGGATGCTGAA